TGATCCCATACGGTTAAGCTGTTTTAAAGTAAAAGAGCTGTAAATTGAGAGACAAACTACTTATCAAGAGTTGGGAACAACAATGGAAACAAAATGAAACAGTAAAAACCTTGATCGAGATTAACTTCTCGGCTGAATCGCACGCAAGATCGTCTTTCTCCATCTTCTCCCAGGGTATGCCAAGCAGGACCAACAATAGCTGGTTTGGGACATTATTTCTTCGCAGAGCATGCTATGCCCATTGCTAATTTATCATAGACATGCATAGGCTTGTGTGGTGTCTTTTATTGCATGTTATCGTATACAAAAGAGCAAATGCTCTTCTCAACCTATTTTTAACGATTATCAAGATTCCTACGTAATTCGCCCACTAACGCTACTTCTGATGGTACTTTTCTGTAGGAAAGCGTGAATCCAAGAGTGTTTGCCGGTTTGCAGCTAGATTGCATCGCCATCTTCATCAGGAGAATGATTCTGGGCACTCCCAGCAAGGAGAATGACCCTTACTTTACACCAAGCTGCCAATTTTCCTGCTCCTTTCTCGTCCATCCCTTACATATCAAAAATAAGTATTATGAGAGAAAACTATTTAAACTAGTTTAGCATAAGTAACGTTTCAATTGTAACTAAGGTAGGACGTCCAAAAGTGGAAAATTCATTGACAATTGGCTAATAATGCAGCCACTGACGCTTGTGAGTTGCAGCAGTTTAGGACAGATACATTCATTAAATTTGTTCACTAAGTTAGATTAACGACGATATCGCGCCACCGCTATTCCGACATCAATGAGTTTGTCTTATTTTGAAAACTGGAATAATTTTTTCAATTGACCAGAGTAATACCAAGGCTAACTTAACTTCTGAAGAAATTATAGTGTTTAAGTTTTACAAAAAAGTTACACCTCGCGTTGATAACTCTTATTTTATTAAATAACGTCATGGTCAATTTCAGCTCAACTCCGATAAGTGCAGGACTATCAATTTGAAAATTATATCGTGCTTATGTTCCGCATCAAACCAACACAGATTTTCATCCATTTTCAATAACTTGGTACAAATCAGCAAATAAAACTTCTGTCAGCAATCACAAACTTTAAGTCCAATATTAACCGGAAAGTTCAAGAGCTATAGATCTGGTCATACTGTACAACATGTCACTGCTTAGCAAAGGTAGTGAGCACACTGTTACTGAAAAAATTGAAACAACTGAGATCTTGTCAGGATTACTGAATGACCAGTTTCGTCTCCGGAGCCACTCCAAATCGTTGCTTGTGCTCTTCGAAGAGCTCGTTTAACTTCGTGACATAGATGTCATGGAGTTCATCGATTTGCTCTTGAGTTGGTTTTTCGACCTTATCCACAGGTATAGGCACTCCCACTACAGTATCGATAGGTTTACGGAATGGTAGATAGCCGAAATTGAGCTGGAAAAGAAAATATCAAAGTTATCATCAAAACTAGTATGTAGTAAGAAAAGAA